GCGTAAAATATGCACAGACACAAACAATATATCAACATGGTCGTATTTTCAGTGTGTCTACAATCGGGCGGTGTCCTGCCCACAGGTGGAGGTGTGATGATAGCCTCTTAACTTTTTACTTTTTCATCCTCTGTTGCCGTTAAGCGTCGAGGGGAGATGCAGTTTTCTATGCTAGGCCAGCTCTGCAGCTCTTTCAATTGAGATATTATAGTTATAATAATTTAATGGGGTTCTTTCGACTCCCTCAATCTATCTCTTACGTGGCCTTCCTCTTCCTTTATATTTATAACCAGGTGATAGCGAAGGTAGTTTTTTTTTTTTTTGGGGGGGGGGGGGGGTAGTAGACATGTTGTAGTGGAGGAAGTGGTGGTGGTAGAGATTGGTGTTGGTTGCTGGGGTGGTTTAGTGGAGGATTTGGTGAGGTGGTAGTTGACGTTGGCGGTTGTTGCAGAGGTGAATTTGGTGTGATGGTGGCAGTTGAGGTAGAAGTGGAGGTGGTGGTTGAGGTATGAGTATGAGGTAGTGGTGGAGGTGATAGTTGAGGTATGAGTATGAGGTAGTGGTGGAGGTGGTAGTTGAGGTATGAGGTAGTAGTTGAAGTATGAGGTAGTGGTGGAGGTGGTAGTTGAGGTATCAGTGTCAGTATGAGGTGGTGGTGGAGGTGGTAGTTGAGGTATCAGTATCAGTATCAGTATGAGGTAGTGGTGGGGGTGGTAGTTGAGGTATCAGTGTCAGTATGAGGTAGTGGTGGAGGTAGTAGTTGAGGTATGAGGTAGTAGTTGAAGTATGAGGTAGCGGTGGAGGTGGTGTAGAAGAAGTGGCCAGCCGCGGCCATTCTTGTGTCGGTCCCGGCTCAGGCCCCTGCTCCAAAGACCTGGCACTCCTTCGCGCCAACAATCGGCTTGTGTAAGGAAAAGGCGGGGTGGGGATTGGGGGTGGGGGGAGAAATAGGAAGCCCTCGCTCGGGTGGTGGTGCCTGCTCTGTGTGTTGTTTGCTGGCATCGGGCCGAGGCTTGTGGTGCTGTGAAAGGTTCCACTTCATTGGTTCCCCTCCACCACTCCACCTACCCCCCCCAACCTCGAATCCGCTCCATTGGTTCTCCTTACCGTGTCTCTTGCCGCCTCCCCTCCCCCCTTCCAACCTCTTTCGAACTCCGATCCTTTCTTCGTGGTGGAGTCTTTTGAGGGGGGCGTGCGGACGGGGGCAAAAATAATACACGTTACTGTGGTGGCTGCCGCCAGTTATTGCTGGTGTCTCAGATCACGTCGTCTTGTTGCTCTTTGCTGAAGAAATACCGCCTCATGAGAAGGCATTGTTGGGGCCGGGGTCTTATCGACCACCCAACTCACCCCCTTCTTCACTCATTCCCCCCCTCCGTTCTTCACCCCTTACCCCCCACCCTTACCATTACCATTTTCTTCTAGATTTTTTTCTTTAAGTTAAAGTCAGGTTGTTTTTTTTTTTTGACATTCAAGAAAACCAGGCACGTTTTGTGTTTGACAGACAAGCTTTGGGAATGTTTTTGTTTGCATGAAAAATTATTTTGATATGAGTGGGGGGGGGGGGGGGTGGGGGGGGGTTTTAAAGGTGGTTGGTTTTTTTGGGGGGTGGGGGGGGGGGGGGGGGGGGGGGGGGGGGGGGGGGGTAGTGGTACTGGGACACTGGATGCAGGCACTTTAGATATGCCAGGGCAGGAAACGGATACGTTCCTCGAATAATCGAATGTAAAATAAAGAGTCCGTCTATCCGTTTAACCTGTTTCACCTGCAAAAACAATAGGTCACGGATTCGTTAGGCCAGATTGTCATGAGTCACTCTTTCTGAAATGGCAGAGCAACCTGTTTTTACCTTTAGTAGGAGGATATTGGATAAGTGGAAAGGAAGAGGGGGTAAGTGACTTTGGCCCAGCGTCTGAAATCGATAGTCGAATATTTTTTTCGCGTTCTTAAAGCGGTCCAGTGTTACTTTGCTTAGAGTTGTGCGGCTCTCGCAACTCCATCAGGTCAAACACGCTCTCGGAAAGCTGTTCGTCATATTATTATGAGACGCTTTGAGAAAAAGCTAGTCCTTCTTAATGCGTAAACCCAACCCGACAGCTTGAGATAACGATAGATAAATCGTCATTCGGTTATAATTCGAATATGTCGACGTTGAAGCACAATACACATCATGTACATGTACCTATTTGCTCGGGTTGTTACACAAAACCGAATGCTTGTCCCGGCCTCGTCCTGCGGCCGGTGGTATGTCGTGATCATGGCGTGCCGTAACTAACGTTACACGGGGAACGGCCCAGGTCGTCTCTCTCTCTCTCTCTCTCTCTCTCTCTCTCTCTCTCTCTCTCTCTCCCCCCC